ATAACTATTATGCCTTATATTTTAGTTTATAGTGATCGCTAATAAACCCATAAAGTTGGTCAGAATTGTACTGCAGAACATGGATCACAGATGTCCCAGTTTTAGCTGATGGCTTCTCTGGGAAATAGAAGTCTGAATTTTCTCAACTGTCCTGCTCCTCAGTTGTTGTCATAATGTGTCCCTATCCTCCAGACATCACCTTCCTCGTAACCATTGCCATCTGGGTTCCTGGGCTTTGAGCCACTCTTGTTACTTGAGTTCAGCATAGATTATCTTTATTGGTAGTGTACATCTTCCAAAGCCTTTTATGTTTGGAAATGTTTCCTTGCCATTCCTTGTAGGGTTTGGGTTCTCATAAACATTTTCTCTTTGGGGTCTAAGAGTTATTCCCTGATGGCCAGATTGAAGAAGAGGACACTGATGCTTTTGTGAGCACAGCTATCTTTTGTTCTATCCTCTACCCAGTTCCATTAGTTATTGTGCCCTCTCATATATGCAAATCTGTTCTGTTCTCACCCCTGTACCTTGACCTGAAAAGAATGCTCAAGTCTCCAACAGCTCTAAAACAACTTCTTTGATTGCTTCTCAGACTTTTGATTAAGTATAAAATAACTTTTTTTTTTTGGTATGGGGGGTTGAACTCAGGACCTTTTGCTTTTGAGGCAGGGGTGGTGCCACTGAGCTACATCCCCAGCCCAAGTGTAATTTTTTCAAGTTTGAGTTCTTTCCTTTCCAAACTAATTTTTGTGTATAGGGTGTTAAAGAATGATTGCCTTTACTTCCTCAATTTCCATTCTTTTCCTATTCTGTTACAGTTTATGATCTGTCTTCTGTACTGTTTTACTTTTTTTTTTTGCAGTAATTGGATATTGAACTCAGGACCTTGCACTTGCAAAGCAGGCGCAGTGCCATTGAGCTAAATCCCCAGCCCTATGCACTGTTTTAATTTTATAAAACTCTTGTTGTGCTTCCCTTTGCTAATGAGTGGTTTGCAGCTCTCATTCCACCTGTTGGTAACATCTCTTAGAGTTGTGCCTCTATTTTATTTCTGTGTTACACAGATTCCTGGGTGCTTTTTCCTCTCCTCTATTCTCCTACTTTATTTTGCTGCTTTTTCTCCCATCACATGCTGCTGAAGCTTGGGGGTTATCCACACATCTCTCCTTAGTCATCTTCTCACTGTGTATTTTTCCTTCTGTGATAATGGAAGGTAAATCTGAGGCAACAGCCCAAGTTTGCAGGCAAAAGCTTTAATTGGAAAGTGAGAGAAAATGAGGGCCGGGGCTTTAGCTCAGTGGTTCCCGTGCCTGCTTTGCAAGCGCAGGGACCCAAGTTTGATTCCCGGTGCCAAAAAAAAAAAGTGAGAGAAAATGAGAAGGAACTTCAGCTTGAGACGCACCAAAGGGAGCACAGAACTGACAGAAGATCAGACTGGTTCTTAGCAAGGGTTCCAGGTCATGGGCAAGTCTGCTGATTATTGTACCAGCTCTGGTTTTGCAGCATGGCTCTTGAGAAGCCTTCATTATGGAGGAGGTACTCTGGTCCACTTATGAGATGGTACCTCTGTCTTGGGAGGGGCAGTCTCAGTTCTGCAGGGGCTCCGCTGGACCCCAGGGCAACTGGAGTTTTAGGGCAATGCTTAGAGGCTTTTAAGGGTCCATACCAGGGGTGAAACTTGGTGGTTGAACATTCTGCAAATCTCTTTTCTCAGTGTCCTCAGTTTTGAAAGGGGATGACATAGGTTATGTAAATTTAGGACTAATAAACTTTGTGTCAGTAGTTTTTAGACAATTCTTAAATGATTGATATCTCTATATGCAGAGCTAAGTAGAGGTCTGACCCAAAGTTTAAAGTAATAAAGGGGAAAGAAGCAAAATGAAGGCAGAGATGGCAAGCTTTGGCTGTTTTTAGTTATCCATGGGGCATCTGTAGGCCTAAATGAACAGTTACTGTTTTTTAGCAGCGTTTAAATCCTTGATTGTCTCTGAAGAAAACACAGATCCTGTTTATTTTGTTGTTGTTTGTTTGGGTTTTGTTTTTTGTTTTTGTTTTTGACGTGGGGATCAAACTCAGGACTTTGTGCTTAGGAGGCAGGAGTGGCACCACTGAGCTAAATCCCCAGCAGTTTTGTTTTTGAGATAGACTCTTGCCTCAGCCCCCCAGCGCTGGGATTACAGGTGTGTGCCATCACGCCCAGCTCAAGTCATGTATATATTTTTTAATCTCTTTCTTTCCTTTCTTTTTTTTTTGTTAAACTCAGGACCTTGTGCTTCCACAGCAGGTGGCAGAATCACTGAGCTAAATCCCCAGCCCCTCAAGTCATATTCTTAATTAGTAGCAGTTTAAGGGCCCGGAGTTAGTTTGTCCTTTGTCCTTCTATGATGGTCTGCAACAGTTTAATTTTTTCATCGTAGACTTTTGTGGTGAAGTCATCCTGGCTTAAATGCTGCATCTGGTTTTTGAGATCCATAAGGTTTCTGGGAGGAGTAAACAGTAGGGAAGAACACATGCTATCCTTTCACTGGTAACCTGTCCTGAATTAAGACCCAAGAGTACACCTGTCCTTTGCCCCCATACTGGTTGCTGTCTCACTTTCACAGCTGCTCTATATTAGTGACTAACAAGTTTTTAGTGTCCTGTTGTTCCTCCCTGTTCTGAGATTTTTTTCATCCAGTTTTGTAACTATAGAGACTAATTACTTCCTCCAACTTTGTTTTTGAACCTGACATTCCCATTGCTGATTGCCTTTGAGCTCTCCTCACTATAGGTATTTCAGATTTACCTATATCTCTAAAGGAAGTATGTCTCCTCTCTCCAGCCTGCTTGTCACTGTAGTCACTACCTGCCTGGGCCCTTATAGCTAGAAACTCAAGAGTTTCTTTGACTCCTTCCTGACCATCACATGTAATTTGTAACCGAGTCCTGTTAATTCAACTTCTGAAATTATTTTCTTTGTACATCTCCTTTCATTGGAACTCAGATTTCTTAAAAAAGTCATATAACCATAACAGTCTTTATGACTTTCTGTTGCCTACAGGATAAAGTCTAAAGTCCTTGCACAGCAAACAAAGTTTTTACAACCTTTCCTAAAACGAACTTAGGAACGTTTAAAAGATAGAGTGTAGATCTTAAAAATTTCAGACACAGAATATTTGGAATGTCATAGAATTTCAATGATTACTTGTGGGATGTGAAAATGAAATAAAAGAAAAATCTCAGCCCAAACTGAACCTGAGGAGGTCCCCAGCAGATGAAGAGGTCATTAAGAATTTGGAGGGGGCAGGCCGGGAGTTTAGCTCAGTGGTTCCGCCACCTGCCTTGAAAGTGCAAGGACCTGAGTTCAATCCCTTTTGGAGGGGTTATGATTAAAGTATGTTATGGGCATATACACATATACCAGAATGAAACCCATTCATCTGTATAATGAATATGCACTAATAAAAAAGAGAGGTGGAAGAAGTAAAGAGAAAAACTTGTGAGCCAGGGGTGGTGGTGCATGCCTGGAATCCTAGCACGCTGGGAGGCTGAGGCAGGAGGATTCCAAGTTTGAGCCCAGCCTGGGTATCTAGCAACTGAGTGAGCCCTTTTTTCAAAATAAGAAAGGGCTGGGATATGGCTCAGTGTATGGGCCTCGGTGCAGTCCTGGGCGGGGGGCACACCCCTGGAGGCTGGCCTCAGTTCAGAGCTGTTTCTTCTCCCTTGAAGTGGTGGTGGTGGTGGTGGTGGTCATGGGGCTTTGAGAATTAAAAAGCAATGCACACATCATAGTCCCTAGTGCACTGAAATAATTTTAAGCTATTATTAAGTGTGGAATGTATCTTCAATGAATAATACCACAGTAATATCCTATAGTAATAGTGCTACACCATAGTAAGAAATGAGGTGCAGGAGTAGTTTGTTCTTAAATGGTCTTCCTGCACTATCTCACCAAGCTGATTTCATCTTACCAGCAACAGTGACTATCAGTCTATATTCATCTCTATTTGCTTGTCTGTCTCTCTCTCTCTCTCTTCTTTTTTTTTTCCGGTTTTTTAAGACAGGGTCTCACTGTGTAGTTGAGACTGACCTGGAACTCACTATGTAGCCCAGGCTGGTATCGAACTCACAGCGATCCCCCTGTCTCAGCCTCCCAAGTGCTGGGATTACAGTCGTGTGCCACCATGCCCAGCTTTCTCATCTATTATTTTTATTACTGTTTGTTGTTATTGCTCTTGTTATTCATTCTACCCTTTAGATAATCTGAGTTTTAAGATATGAGTAGTGGCTGGGCATGGTGGTGCACACCTGTCATCCCAGCACTTGGGAGGCTGAGGCAGGAGGATCTCTGTGAGATTGAGACCAGCCTGGGCTACATAGTGAAACCCTGTCTCAAAAAACGAAAAAAAAAAAAGATATGAGTAGTAGAGGTGTGGCTCCCTTATTCTGTACAGAGTGGGGTGGGGGGCATCAGCATGGTTTACAGCATACTTGCTCCCTAGAATTTTTCAATTGACCTTTTAACAGATAATTGTAGCTTTACATACAGTTGTAAGAAATAGGCGGAGATCCCTTGAACACTTCAACAAGTTTTAAAGTCTAATTAATAATTACATTTTTTTCCTTGCATAAATGGTGTAAAACTGCAGGTAGAAAGCACTTAATGAATTTGAAAAGTTGAGATTACTCTGCTTTGAAGCTGCAGCAAATAAAGATTTGATGTAGATGTCCATATTGTAGCCAGACCTCCACGAGTGAGTACAGTTTTCTTAGGTTGAGAATGAAAGGAGGGAATGAGATGAGCCAGGATCAGGTACGAGTTTGAACCTGCTGCCTAAGGGCACAGCGGTAAATAATCCTGACTTTTGAACTGCCTGCTCTTTCTTGCCACAAGTCTTCAGAATTTAAGTATTTACTGGTCTTTTATTAGTCCCACGTCTAATTGTTATATATGCTGTTTTTGATGTAGAATACTTTGATTCTAGGAGTCTGATTTACTGACAAAGTTTTTCTCTTGCTTTTAGAATGACAGTCGAGAACGGCAGGAGCACAGTGATAGGCGGAGACCTGGCAACCCTGAGCCAGTATCTAATGGCCGACCCCAAGGGAACTCACGGCAGGTGGTGGAACAAGATGAAGAAGAAGATGAGGAGCTGACATTGAAATATGGTGCCAAACATGTCATCATGCTCTTTGTCCCTGTGACCCTCTGCATGGTGGTGGTTGTGGCTACCATCAAATCGGTCAGCTTTTATACACGGAAAGATGGGCAGCTGTATGTATGAATGTTTTGTTCTGTTCTCAAGGCCAGTGAGGCTTTTCTTCACAGCATTTCATACTGAAGGTGCATGAAGGAGTCGATCTTTGACAGCAGAAGCAGTTGAGCGAGGGGTTTTCACTTGCTTTAAGTGATTAAATAAGGCATAAGGGTTGAGTCAAGAGAAATCATTAGACATGAAGGTCAAATTCTAGTTGGGAATATTATTAATATAATAATATTATATACATACATATGCTCTAGATAGGTTTCTTGGATGTTGTCATTGGATAGGACAGAATTTATTTGGAATTGAGCAAGTTAAGAATAATTTTTCCCTCTTCAGGGCGATTGGGGCCATTACTCTTTTTTTTTTTTTTTACTTTTCCAAGAAGGCTATGTTATTAACAAAATCAAAGAAAAAACTGAAAAAAATTAAGTCTTAGAACAGGAAACAGGATGGCCCCAAGACCTCCACAATAATAGTTCTTATAGAATGGACCCATCTAGATGTGTTTCTGTGGGATTCAGATTTCTAGAAAGATTTTGATTATCACAGTCTTGATCATGTACCTACACTTAATATATCACTATGACTGGCACACATGTAGTGTATCTGGAATCATTTAATAGTTGAGATGATCTTCAAAAGATGAGGTCATGCATGACCAAAATGTGTTTCCCATTCCAAATGCAAATGTTAGGTAATCCTGCACTATTTGGTAAGTATTATGTCCGTTTACTAAGGATAAAACGAGGGTTAAGAAATTATTCCCAACTAGAATTTGACCTTCATGTCTAATGATTTCTCTTGACTCAACCCTGAGGCTCTCTCTCTCTCTCTCTCTCTCTCTCTTTTTTTTAGGTTGAATTTTCATTGTTTTTTTCCTTATTTTTCTTATTTATTTATTTTTTTGGTACGGGGGATCAAAGTTGGGTCCTTGCACTTGGAAGGCAGGCGAGAGAACCGCTGAGCTAAATCCCCAGCCCTTTTCTTTTTTATTAATACATGTTTGTAGTACATAATGATCACATTCATCATGAGGGATTTGTATGTGTACGTAACACATCTTAATTCTTTTAGAGCCATTGCTCTTATGCCTGGAATGTCCTTTCCTTTTCTAACTTTGGTAAATTAAATTCCTATTATCCTTTTTTTTTTTTTTTTTTTTTTCGTACCAGGGATCGAACTCAGGTCCCTGCACTTGCAAGGCAGGCGGTGGAACCACTGAGCTAAATCCCCAGCCCCTATTATCCTTTTTATCTTGGTTTAAATGTTAAGTCTTCAAAGATAATTTCCTTCCCAGCCTAATAGAATCAGATTCTAAAGATAAGAACAACCTGTTTTTTATCACTTCTCTGGCCTTTTGGCTAAGATCAAGTGTAGTATCTGTTCTTACCTGTTTAATAACAACCTGTTTTTTTTCACTTGTCACATTTTGCAAGTATATTTATTTACATTATTGAATGTGTGATTTCCTCCTTTACTGTAAGGCTTGTGAAGGTATTTTGTCTCCAAGGGTGAGGTACAGAATTAATTTTAAAAAGTTTAATTGAAAGAATGAATAAGAAGCCTGAACTCTAAATTTGAGCACTGTTGTATGGATTCCTGGTGCTCTTCGTGTTAGTCATTGATCTCCAAGAAAAGTGCTGTAATTCAGATGTCCATCTAGTCTGTCTCTAGGAACTAGAGTTTTAAGTGAGATTTAGGTGAACTTTGGGAAGTGTCCAAAAAACTTCATTGTGTTCTGAAAGTCAAGCCATTGCTAAGACATGTGTGAAAAGGCAGGGGTTAGAGACAGTAACTACTTATATGAAGTAGCATGAGGTTTGGCTATAGCTATATACTATTACAAGTTATAGCCCAGAGCCTTATCTGCCCCAGGAGGTGTCCTGTTGGGAAGAAAGTCGGTGGAACTACGACCATGTCCATTCATTTATATTTTCTCAGTGGCTGCTTTTACCCTATAGAGGCAGACTCTGTAACCCACAAAACTTAAAATGTTTCTCATCTGGCCCTTTATGGAAAGTCTCCTGGCCCTGTTACAGAAAATCAGAAGAACTGGTTTCAGTGGAGACATGCCTGGTTTCTCTCCCACTGAGCATTAAGGAGGTAGGCAGTCCATGCCTGTGTACTGGCTTTGTGCTCATCCTGGACTCAGCTTCCTCTTTCTTCTTGACTCCTGTCTTCTGAGTTGCTTCAGGCTTCCACTGGACCCTCCCTTCATCCAGGCAGCAGGGAAGACAAGGACATAGGCCATCTCTAGTAGAATGTACTCCTTTCTGGCCAGTTCCTTACAAGCATATTTGTTTATAGTTCATTGGCATTACTTAGTCTCATGGCCACACTTAACTGTATGGAGGCAGAAGCCTTTTCCTTGTTTTTGTTTTTTTCCAGTGCCAGGGATTGAATTCAGGACCTTGCACTTGTTGCATAGGTACAGCGCTACTAAGCTCTGGTCCGGGAGGCTGAGACCATCAGCATGTAGAATAAAAATATTTTAGTGTGAGTGAGAAAGGGAAGATGGCTAGCAAGACAACTCAAGTTACAGTTACTCTACAGATGAAAGACAATAATTTTGAACCATATCATCTTCCTCTGATAACCCCTAGTAAGCCTAGGTGGTTTATGCAGCAAAATCTTGTTAACCTAGTAGATTACTAATACATATACTTTTGGGAAAGTAATTATTTCAGCTTAAAGAATCCACTAGATGGAGCCAGTGTCTGGCTCACACATAAGTTCATCTGTGTATTTTAGATTCTTCTTTTTTATTTTGAAGCATTTTAGAGTATACCTGTTTTTCTTAGTTTAAAAATTCTTAGACTGATGAAATGGGAAAAAGTAGCTTGTGTAAATTTAATAAAACAAGATTATGGTGTTGAAGGGAGCATATCGTTTGGATTATCCATTAATATCCAGGACTTTGCGTTTTGTTGCATTATAGAATCTATACCCCATTCACAGAAGACACGGAGACTGTTGGCCAAAGAGCACTACATTCAGTTCTGAACGCCGCCATCATGATCAGTGTCATTGTGGTCATGACCATCCTCTTGGTGGTTCTGTATAAATACAGGTGCTATAAGGTAAGCTTGAGACACAGTCATGCTTTCTGCCTGTTGTGTTTCTGCCTGCGTTTTCCTGTCACGTACCTTGCTTGGGCTAGTAAAGAAAAAAGATCTTACATTTTAGACCTATTTAATTTTTGTTATCTTCCCTGTAATTGTGGAGTATTTTAAAAATACAAAAAGACATAAATGGAGAACAAATACTTTCACATATACTTAAGATTTCCTGAAGGACTATATACCCTAAGACCTTTGAATATGCCCTCATTCACAAGTAGTACCTTAAGATATAATTTTCCCCATAAAATATTTTGAAATTCAGATTCTCATATTTGAGGGCAGAACAATAGAGCCACCTTCAGATGCTGGTGTTAAAACATATTGGTGACTGGCTGTGTCTTGCTTCTGAAACTGTAGCCAACTATGTACACATGTTTCTCCTATGGTAGTGCTGCTTCTTTCCTTGGGAAGTGGGGCAGGGAGGTCATGCAGGAAAGACACTGGCCCAAACCTCTACCCTCTACTCTCCTAGTTGTAGCTCGCTAAGTGACTCACTCCTGAATTCTAGCCTGGCACATGTTTTAGAATCAAAAAATGTTACGAATTATTATAAGTCATTGACTTATTTTTATTTATTTATTTATTTGTTTGTTTGTTTGTTTGTTTATTTATTTATTTATTTGGTGGTACTGGGGATCAAACTCAGGACCTTGCATTTGTGAGGCAGGTGGCTGAACCACTGAGCTAAATCCCCGGCCCCTCAGGAATTATATTAAATTTCCTGGTATTACAGTATATTCTCTTTACTTCTAGTGTTTTTTCTAGTATATTTCAAATTTTTTTTTCTTCCAGTACTGAGTCTCGAACTCAGGACTTTGAGCTTGCCAGGCAGGTATGGCACCACTGAGCTAAATCCCTAGCCCTCTAGTATATTTTTAAAACATAGTTAAAATATATAATCAGTATGTGCCCTTCCTTAGCTTTTACTTTGACATAAGCATTTTTTCTATGTTACAGATTCTTGGAAAATATTTCTATAGCTACATAATATTGGACTCAATGAGTATATGTTTTCTGATTTCTTTGATATTGGACAGTTTGTTTCTGGTTATTCACTATTATAAAAAACGATGTCTTTATGCATATAACTTTTTCAGTAATTTCTTTAGGGTAAAATCCTAGACATAGAATTTCTGGAGCAAATTGAATCTGCATTTTTAACCCAATATGCAAACTTCTGTTTTCAAAAGGGCTATATCAATTTGTGCTTAACACCAGTAATAATGAGAGTGTGTATTTTTCCCCACCTTCACAACATTGAGGATTAATTTGTTGTTTGGTTTGGTCTTTTGGTTTTTGTTTTGGTTTTTTTGAGACAGGGTCTCACTGTGTAGCCTAGGCTGACCTTGAACTCCCAGTGATCTTCCTGCCTCAGCCTCCCCAAGTGCTGGGATTATAGGCATGCACCATCATGCCTGGCGAGTTTTTTTTTTAAGTGGTGTTAATTTTTATAGACAGAAAAAGTGTCTTAACTTGCATGTAGTTGATTACTAGTTAAGATGTAATCTTTTCTTAATTCTCACAAACTCTAAAATGATACCAGAGCTTAATGTAGCTTGTTGAACCTGTCGAGCCTGTGAGTGGTTAGATAGTTACCCTAAGGGATGGCCGACTGTGGTCTGCCATTATTATATGGAGAGAAGATGAAAGGTGTGTGTGATAACAGGTCCTCAGCACACAAGCCAAAGAGCAAACGACTTAAACCCTCACTGCACTGAATATGCTCTTTCTCAGCTTGCTTTCGCCCCCTTATCACCAGCTGTATATTTTATCAATATCTGTGTTTGCCTGCTGGTTCTATTTTTCTGCTTTATTAGATTCATTTTTTGACTTTTATCTGAATTGTATGCTGTTTTGTTCATTTTTAGATTTTATTAAGGAGTGAATCTACTTTTGCTTTCTTGTAATCTAGAATTTGCTCCCAGGTTCTCTGCTTTTCTTTTGCAAAATACTTGTGTAATTGGATAAATGGAGCTCTAAATTTAAGATTAACTAAATTATTTTTCCTAAGAATTTTAGAAATTATTTAATTTTTATGTATTTACTTATTTTCACATGTGAAAGAGAAAGTACCAGTCTCTAAACTGCCTCTTCTTTTCTCTGCTCTTAAATGTGAATGAGTTTTCCCCACCTCAAACAGTAATGTTTAGAGGACAGTGTATTAAACCACACAAACCATTTTACCTTGTTTCATTTAATCTTCACAGCTCCGTAAAGTAGCCCTACTATGATCCCTGTTGTACAGATGGGGAGCTGATATAGTGGTCACACTGTTGTATGGGTTAGAAGCTAATGGGTCAGCATGGGGATCTGAGCAAAGTTTGGCCTGGATCAATACATAGCCATTACCCCTTTCAGATCCAGTTCTTAATGCCCTCAAACATTCTTCTTGTGGCTACATGGAAGCTGCTTATCCTATGGTTGCCAGTATTTCTCTTGATCATATCTGCTGACCTTTTGAACTTAATCTCTCTGGAGTTTTTTTGTTTGTTTGTTTGTTTTTTCAGTACCAGGCATTGAACTCAGGACCCTTGCGCTTGCTAGGCAGGGGTGGTGTCACTGAGCTAAATCTCCATCTCTCTGGACTTCGCTGCCACTGACTTACTGATCTCTCTGTTCTGCTTGACATTGTTTCTTGTTTTTGCTTTTGTTCTTTCCTGAGTCTGGACATTGGACTTTTTGTCTCTTTTATTGCTTCTTGGAAAAGTGCATATAGGGCCGGGGATTTAGCTTAGTGGCATGCACAGGGTCATGAGTTCAATCCCCAATACCAAAAAAACAAAAACAGTGCATATAACCTCATGGCTTAAGTCTGCATCCTCAAATACAACTTTTAGACTAGAAGTCTCTGCTTATTAGGCCCATGGTTGATATTTTTTCCTTTATATATCAGTGCCACTCAGATCTGCTAGCATGGAAATTGAACTGATTATCTTTTATGCCATCCCCTTATCAGTAGGTCTGCTTTGCCAGTCTTTTTTTTTTTTTTTTTTTTTTTTGGTGCTGGGGATTGAACTCAGGACCTTGCACTTGTGAGGCAGGCAGAGGCACCACTGAGCTAAATCCCCAGCCCTTTGTAGTTCTTAATTTTTACCATCTGTTTTATCCATAATTATTATTATCCATAACTAATGAGTTATGTTTGTTAGTTCTCCATGTCTAGCATTTTTGATGCCTGCCCTTTCTGCATTGATTCTTCTACCTTGACTTCTTAGCTGACTTTTTAAACAAAATGATGGTGAACCTTCTGCAGCAGGCTCTTCATATCATTGAAAGCTCTAAAATTTTCACCATCATAGTTACAAACTTTGCCTTCTGTCTTTAAAATATCACAAAAACAAAAATAGTAGGGCTGGGGATGTAGCTCAGAGTTAGAATGCTTGCCCAGCATGGGTCCTTAGTTCAGTTCCCAGCTCTGCAATAATATTAATAATAATAATGATAGGAAGAGAAGGAGGACAGTGTTCACTGTTTAAAAAATTCAGACCAGGTATAATAGTACATATCAGAATTGTCTCCATTATTCCCATTCCCCAGAAGTACTGCTGTTGATGCACATCTTTTTTCTTTTTTTGTTTTTTACTTAAATACTAATAAATATGTACTTTTTTCAAGAAAAATTGAGGCATATTAAATCTACTGTTTTATAATAATAATTATCCCCTCTCCCATCTCCTTTATTTTCTAACTTAATAGTATGTTTTTGAATTTTTTTCATCGCATGTGATTTTCTTCAAATATTACTAAGTATATTTTTTATTTCTAGAATTTCTATTGGTAGTTGTTTTTTGTTTTATTTTTGTAGTACTGGGGATATTTAGTATTAAATTTTTGAGTATTTGTCTTTTTCTTTGCTCATATTTTAAGTTACTTTTATTTTATTACATATGTACTTTTGTTTTGTTTTGTTTTGCTTTTTTGTTTTTTGAGACAGGGTCTCACTGTGTAGTTGAGACTGAACTGGAACTGGCTATGTAGCCCAGGTTGGTCTCAAACTCACAGTGATCCACAGTGATCTTCCTGCCGCAGCCTCCTGAATGCTGGGATTACACGCGTGCGTCACCATGCCCAGCTACTTATTTTTGTTCTATATCCAGTCATTTCAATATCTGAAGTTTTGGGAAGAATAATTCTGTTGACTATTACTCATAGTGACCTGTTTCTTCTAATTTTTATGATCATTTCAAGTTTACATTTACTAAGGTACAGTTTTGGAAGTTCTGTGAGATCCATGTTTTGTATGAACACTATTGAAGATTGGCATACACCCTTAAGCTACCCGATGACTTTGTACCATCTAACTCTCCTGATTCCTGCTTCCATATTTTTTTGAGGGAGTGAGTTCCAAAAATGCCTCTCCTTCTTTGGACCTCAAACTGTATGTTTTAAAATATATTTAAAATTTTTAGTATTATTTATATTTTATAGGGAGAAAGTTTTCAGACTCTGGCCTTCCTTCCATATTACTAGAAGTCTCAGTTACCTCAGTGGTTTCCACCTTATCGACTAAATTAAAATCTATACTTGTGGACTAAAGTGCACACAAACATAGTTTCTGCATCCTTTCCACACCTCAGTGTATTGGCCCTGTTACTTGTCTAGAGCATCTCTCACCTTTCCTATTCTACAGTTGCTACACCTTTCTCCAGCCTGAGTGCTGTCTTTGTAACCCTGAGCAGATTTCCTGTGTCAGTTCGGTTCAACTCATGTCTTTCTAGCAGTTAGGGTACAGATGAAATTGGTTGTTTTTGTTTATGTGTTAACAGTGCCTTTTCTTTTTAAATTCTTTTTGTTACTTTTCCATGAAGGGACTCTGTGCTATACACATTTTCTTGGTAACCCACCACTGAGCCTATTTAAAGTTCTTGTGCATAGTGAATCAGCATGCACAAGTGAGTCTATGCCCCACAGGATGGGTAGATGGAATGGAAAGTGTGTGGGGGATGGAATCATATAGG